GGGAGGGAGGGAGGGAGGGAGGAGAGACAGAGACACTAGGTATTGAACCTAGGGTTTTGCACATGCCAGGTAAATGCTCTGCCACTAAACTACATTGCTAATCCTTCTTGTTTTTAATTTGAGACATTTCTGAGGCTGGCCTTGAATTTGCCATACTCCTGCCTCAGCCTCTCAGAGTAGCTGGGATTACAGGCATGCATCAAGATACCCAGCTTCAGCCAATTGATCCATAAAGTAAAGTAGGAAATGACCGCTATGATTTGTTTCAATGCTCACATAGTTCAAGTGACTATGATGAAAAACAGAAAGAGGATCCAGGATGAACAGATTCGGAAACGAATGTCTACAAGGGACCTTGATTGAAGGATAAAGAAAAAAACAGGATTTCAGAAGAGGAAAGACCAGAAAGCTGAAAGCTTGGTTTTAATCACAAATCTATGTAGAAAAGAACTTCCTCTTCTAGAGATTAAAAGAGAAATGAAAGGCCTAGTACAAAGAACTGTATTCCTAAAAGGTCTTTTCAAAGAACTTCAAGAGAACAGCAACAGAAAACCAAGGGAAGACAGATCCCTAAAACGTGTGGTAAATAATGAGACATTATTATTATTTTATTATTATTATTGTTATTATTTACTTGTATACATCAAATTGGAATTGCCTCATACATCCATTAAGTTTAATCTGGACTACATTATAGCAACAAGAAAGAAGAAAAGGATTTTTGCTAAAAAAAAGAGTGAGAAGGGAAAAGACCTAGGAATAGTTTTTGATTAAAAAAAGTCCCCTATTTATCTTTTAATAGGAATAGGACACCTAAGGGAAATAAGATATCCTAAAACCAGGAAGCAGAAAGGCCAGGAAGCAGGAAAGACTGGGCTCAGTCCTTTTGGCTACTCTTCTCTTTGTTGAGCAACTGTTAAATGAACTTAGTTTCACAGAACTCCCACTGAAAAGGGCAAATAATTCTTTTAAACCAACTATTAAGGATTATAATTTTCTGTAATGACAAAATGAGTTTTTCTTAGATTCACTGGAGGGTTAAGTCCCATTCAAGAGACCAAGTACAATTTTGAAAGTTGTGACAAACAGAAACAAAACTAATCTTCTATAATTCACAGTAATTTGGGAGTAGGGAAATAGTCCCAAATAATTTTTATCTTTTTTCTTTATTTTTTAATAATTGTTTTTAAGTTGTAGTTGGGCACAATACCTTTATTTCATTTATTTATTTTTATGTGGTACTGAGGGTGGAACCCAGCACCTCATATGTGCCAGACAAGCGCTCTACTGCTCAGCCACAACCCCAGCTCCAAATAATTTTTTATCTTATGTGAAAATTAAACATTAGAGCAAAAATAAAGGTATTACTGCAAAATCATTTACTTGACTTACTTTAACAAAATAACATCAAGTGAGCTAACTTTACCTGTTTAGGACAAACTACAGGAGCCAAGTGGGCCTGAAAAGTACTTCTTCGGTCAGTAATAGGAATGCCATGATCAATCGGAGGTAATTCTTCTATTTCTACAAATTTAAAGAATAAACTTGCTTTATTTTTCAGAGTCTTACATTCAAATACTGAAAAATTGGCAAAGGGGGACAGGAAATCAGGCAATAAATTTAAATTATACAGCAAATTAAAATAGCCGTTAGTAATTACTAAATTTTAAAATTTTTTAATTTACCAAAATTAAATTTAAATTACAATTTAAGTAAAAAGTCTAAAATGTATATAAGATAAAAATACTTGATTTATAAATGCCAATGTCACTCAGTGGAGATAGTAGGATTGAGACTCAAATCTTGAAGTATTACAGCAATCAAAGTTGGTATGACATATAATAATACAATATGTAGTTTTTTTAATAATAATACAATGTGTAGTTTTTAAGAGTGTAAAGATTGACAGCTGCTAATATACCCCTACTTCCTTATTCATCTATGGTCACAGACCTCTGAGTTGAGAAATCTGTTACTTTAAATTGTATAGCTACAATATATCTCCTTATAACAAATATTTCCATTTCTTAAAATGGAATACATCAATACTATAGCCAAATGGTATTCTGTGAAGAGTACTAGGATGCCAGTTATTGTGTCTCTTCAAAAAGTTTAAGCATCATTAATTAACCCTTAAATATGGTGAGAAATTTAACCATCATGGTTGCTACTAACTGCCTCATTTAGGATGAAGATAATGAACTAAAAAAATCAGGTTTTGGTAGGATGCTATTGCTTTTTTTTTTTTTTTTTTTCTTTCAGTGCTAGAGAATAAACCCAGGGCCTTGTGCATTCTAAGTGCTCTACTACTGAGTTACATCCCCTGTTCTGCCCTCTTCTTGAATTGCTTTTGGCCTCTATACTGTTACAAATAAATCAAATATAGCATACAAGTCAACATGAATTACTGACCTATTGATGCTATTTATGATAACTGATTTTTCACCCTTTTTCTTTAAATGTTGGATCCTACTTCCCAAAAGTCTTATGTCAAATCCATGAATATATAAATGATTAAAATGGAGCTACTTTGGTTGAAGCACAAGTAGGAGCTCTGGATCCTCTCCCCCACTTTCATTTCTACTTCATGCTCTTTTGCTAGCCCTGGAGCACCACCTTTCAAAAACCTTAAACTTTCAGAATACTGTTTTTAAAAGCTACTATAAAATAACATAGTGAACTGCTCATCTTCTAACCAAACGCATATTTCCTCTGGTCTATAAATGTTTTTGTAAGAAACTTAAAAGGAACGGATGATAATATTGAAAATTTTTAAAATACTAAACCAGAACATGCTTTCTCATATGCACATAGAGCTATATACACACCAACCTATTTATAAGTTGAATACTACTGTGAAACATATTTGCTGAAACAAAAATTAAATTTATAAAGGTATATTAATAGCTTTATTTCAGTAGTTCTACTTTCCATGATACTTTATTTATGTTTGTGAGCATAGATTGAAGTCCAAAACATCAGGAGAAAGTTGAAATACAAAAACAGAATATGAACTGAAAACATTAACAGCCTTTCTTAGTTTTGATATCTCCCATCATTAAATCAAAACTCTACAAAGCCAGGGGAAAAAAGGAAATTTCTATTTTTTTTCCTCACCATTCTGACAGACCTGGGAAAACATCAAAATGGTCAAGAGTCAGGAAAAAAATAAATCTGTCTGCAAATTAATAACTACTTCCTAACACCTGAGTATTTACTAAATTTCCATAAGATGCCAAAGAATAATTCACAACACTATCACCCCACACTCCTCATAAGAAACTACTTAGTGACATTATACCTGGTTGATTTTCACTGATATCAAAATCCAATGCTTTCACTGGGTTCTCTGGCTGACATGCTAAAATGAGATCGTCTTCACATTCAACATCTTCCTCTTCAGTTTTCTTCTTCACATCTGGGCCTATGTGGATATGAGACTTCATGATTATAAAAAAGCAATTATAAAATCACTATTACATAAACATAAGATCTTACAAATTGGTGTGAGTATACTATGTATACAACCAGAGAAATGAAAAATTGAGCTCTATATATGTAATAATAATTGTAATGCATTCCACTGTTATATATAAATAAAAATAATTAATTAATTTTTTTAAAAAATTAGGTCTTGACTCTAAACACCATTCTTCAACAGAAAGAATCAGAATTCCTCTTCCTCACAACAGAATTCCAATGAATAAATGAAGAAAATGGAGACTCATCATTAGGCAAACAACATAGTAATAACTACTGCTGACAGAATCTTCTGATGGATACTAAAATGTAAATGAAAGTTTAAGGAACAGGATATTGGCATAGCCTTGGCACATGCCTATAATCACAGCTACTCAGAAGGCCAAGGCAGAATGATCATGTCAGTCCAAAAGTTTAAGGGACATCATGTCTCAATTAAAAAAAAAAGAACTTCCCACAAGACACAAAGGAAAAGTTAAAAGGTATTAATTTATGATAGTTCTTTTACATGTTAATTTGGGTACCCAAGTCAGAGTACACAGATATTTGGCTAAATGCTCTTCTAGATGTTTCTGTGCAGGTATTTTTTTTATGAGATTAATATTTAAATCAAATGACTCTGGGTAATGCAGACTGCTCTCCATAACAAAGGTGGACCTTATTCATAAAGAATGACCTCCCCAGAAGAGTGAATTTTCCCAACAGACTACCTTTGGACTGAAACTGCAACATCAGTTCTTTCCTGGTTCTCCAGCTGCTGGCCTACCCTGCAGATGTTAAGACTTGAAAGCCTCCACAACTGTATAAGCCAATTCCTTAAATCTCTCTCTGTACACACAAAGACACACAGACATATACACACGCACAAACATACCCATTTCTCTGGAAAACCCCAACACAGTAACTTAACAGTGGAGACATCTGGCACACACCACCTTAACCAAAGGATCAAGGTAAGCATCACCAATAATACATCAGACCGATATTACGAACTCCTGGAAATGATGTATTTACACAGGACACAATATCATTTTTGTAGTATTTTTGCCAAAAATAGCTAATCTTATTCCAATCATGAGAAAACAACTAGACAAACCCAAAATGAGGGGTATTCTACAAAATACATGATCAGTACTTTTCAAAAGGGTCCAAGGTTATAAAAGTAGAGGAAAGAATGAGGAACTGATTATAGAACAGTGTAAAGAGAAGTCATAATTAAATACAATGCAGAATCCTGGACAGGGTCCTAAAGCAACAGAAAAGGCATTAGTGGAAAAACTGGTGAAATATGAATAAACTCTTTGGTTTACTTCATAGTACTGCACTATGTTATTGATATTACAGCAAGGTAAAGTATGATGTTAGTAGGAAGTTAGGGTGAAGAATATAAAAGAGCTCTTTATACTATTTTTACAACTTATCTGTAAATTTGAAGTCAGTTCAATTTTTTTTTGGTGAGTGGGGGGGGTACTAGGGACATAACCCAGAGGCTCTAAATCACTGAGCTACATCCCCAGCCCTTTTTATTTTTTATTTAGAGTCAAGGTCTCAATAAATTGCCAAGGATCTCACTAAGTTTCTAAGGCTTGTCTCAAACTTGTGATCCTTCTGTTTCAGCCTCCAGAGTTGCTGGGATTATAGGCATGTGCCCTGGCAAGTTAGTTCAATTTTTTTTTTTTTAAATTGGAGTTATGTATAATTACTTCAAATTTAAATTTTTTATTCTAGAAAAACAATAAAGAATAAATTTGTACTTGTTAACAGTAAAATAAAAATAAACTATTCCCTAAAGAAGAAAATTTTCATCCTGATCACTATCTCTTACCCTTATTAGTTCTTCAGAATTATTATTAATCCTTCCATTTTAATGTAATATCTGCAAAAACAATTCATTTTTGTTTTTATTTATTTATTTTTATTTGGTGTGAGGATTGAACCCACTGCCTCGAACATGCCAGGCAAGCACTCTACCACTGAGCCACAACACCAGCCCCATGCAAAACAATTTTATTTATTTTTTGCTATCGGGGATTGAACTCAGGGGCATTCAACCACTGAGTCACATCCCCAGTCCTATTTTGTAGTTTATTTAGAGACAGGGTCTCACTGAGTTGCTTAGCATCTTGCCATTGCTGAGGCTGGCTTTTGAACTCAAGATCTTCCTGCCTTAGCCTCCCGAGCACTGGATTATAGGCATGTGCCACTGCACCTGGCCCCAAAACAATTTTAAAGAAAAAAACATCAAATTTCTAAAAATTCAAAATTATGAATTATACAACATAAATCAAGAACCCTAAAACTTGAAGGACTGACTTAACTGTGGTTGCAGGTGGAAAACGGAAAATGTCAATTTTAAGATTAAATTTTCAAATTTCCTAAAAGTTGAGTACTCCAAACTTGTGGAGTCCTAAATGTTTATTGATATACATTCCATTTCTGCACTTGTTCTAACTCTAAAAGCAGGCTGGCAGAAGTTATTTCTGTTTGGGGAATTTTGAAATCACTTTTCTCACAGATCCCTAAAATGCTGCAAAATCAGAACATGTATTATAAAAAATTGAGGAAAATATTTCAAAATTAATTATTATATGGTTTTACTATCTTTGTCATTTACCTCTGATTTTATAAAAGCAATAAAAATATCTGTCTCTACAAAAAAATGAAAAATTCTCTAAAAACATATATATATTATTATCAACTCTAAATGTAAACTAATTTTGCTGAGGGAGGCCTAAAGAATTGGTTCTCTGTAAATACCCCTCTAAACAATTAGTAAGAATAAGCTACTGGATTTTTTAAAAATCCTTTTGGCCTCCAAATTAAAAATAATTCTACCAGTGATATCAATAAAATGCTATTTTAAAGTACTTTTAGAGTTATTTTTATCTCTAAAAAGTCTTTTGTGGTAAATGGAACAGACTACTAAATGTGAACAGGAGACATTAGAGATTTCTATGTTGTCATAAGCTTAATGAAAGATTAATAAAAAGCAAAATATCAATTTCCAAATGTTCTACAACTAGTGGTGATGGCTGAATTGTATACAAAAACCACTGAATTGTATACTTTAGAAGGGTAATAATTATGGCATATGAATTATATTTCAAAAATTATACTCAAAATTAAATTCCATATCCTAATATTGGTCACTGTTCTTCTCAGGTTTTGTTTTTGTTTTTTTTTTTCCTATAAGGAGTAGATTCATTTGAAGCTAAACTCTATTTATGTAGTGCATAATTCATGAAGAATGTTATAGAGTTCATATTACCTTAATGGAAATTAAAGAGAACAGATTTGGTCATAAGTTGTTTCACCAGAAAACTATTTCTATAAAAGTATAATATGAAAATTGCTGGGTATGGTGATGCAAATGGATAATCCTGGCAGCTCGTGAGCCTGAGGTAGGAGGATCACGAATTCAAAGCCAGCCTCAGCAACTTAGCAAGGATTTAAGCAATTAGAGAGACCCTATCTCTAAATAAAATATTAAAAAAAGGCTGGGGATGTGGCTCAGTGGTTGAGGATCCCTGGGCTCATTCCCCAGTACCAAAAGAAAAAAAAAAGTATAATATGAAAATAAAGAGGATAATGCTTTTAAAAAAAAAAGGAATAACCATAATTACCACAAGTAAATGAACTTTCCAGGGAAATTTTTATTATACACAAACCACAAACCATAAATTTTCATGTAAAACTTCAATTAGAATATCTTTGGGAAAATTTAATTACCATAATAAGTTAAAAGGGCATTGATATATTTTTCATTCCTACCTGGTTCTGTCATCTGAGATTTTTGTATTAGCACATCTCTTATTTTCTCCACCCACAGGTAAAGAATACTTTCACCAATATTCTGTCTAAACAAAATTCAAGAGAAAAAAAATTGTTATTTCAAAAAAAAATTCCCTTCTCAAATTCAAGAAAACAGAAACATATTTACAATTCAAGACATTATTTTAAAAATCTAACCATGCCTTATTCAAAAGTATTTATAAAAAGATAAGATCACCAACACTGTATCTGAGTATTTAATGTAGATTGTTTATACCAACATTAAAAATCCCAACTAACTCCAAAATTAACTTGGCTTTACTTACAATAAACAAAAGAGTTAAAACCAAAGAAGGGAAAGAAAATTTCTAAACTTGAACTGAATGCATTAGGTAGTTCTAAATGTGATTTTGCTTCTATAAGAAGATACAGTTTCAGTATTGGTGTCTAATCACTGCTTACTTTTCTAAACTTCTGAATAACTTCCAACCATTTACAACTTATCATTTAGGATACTTATTTCAACAAATAAAACTGCAAAGCATATGGAGAACTCCTTCATGGAGTCAATTCAGAAGATCTAAAAGATAATCAATTCAAAAGTTTTATAGCCATACCTTGTTTTTGACAAAATATCCTATTGCCTAATTGATTCATTTGGTTACAAATAATGTTTGGCTGCCCCTGATGAAAAATGTCTCAGAGAATCACTGAGAAAAAGAAATGTGTCCTGGGTCTTAGAGACATGTCCATAGTTATGTTGCATGATGGAAACAACAATAAAGAAATGGCCAACTATCTGTTCTTTAAGTAATAACTCAAATTTTAGGTTAGTTATGTGTTTAAAAAAATCACCCCACTATAACATAGCAATATCTTACCTTCCTTTAAAAGTTCTCCCTTGAAATTGTTCTATCATCACTCATCAGCACCCACCATTTCAAAACAAGCATGCAGAAGAAAATGAAACAAAAACTGCTTTCAAATAATTATTAAACCCTCCCTATATCAACTGAGAACACTGGTGAATTTCTTTTAAACAATTTCAACTACTATCCATTCTTCTCAAAAGAGTTCATCAGACACTCAAGATAAAATGTATTAAGGACATACTAAACCCCAGGTTCATTACATACATCAACACCTTTAATCCTTATCATTGTCTTCTGTATTACTTCCCCATAACAAAAATGAAAAAATAAACTTTACAGAAATATATTAACTTATCCAAGACAGTCTTCTAAGCAATTTAAGAAGCCCAAAGCTGATTTAAGAACCCAGGACTGAGGTTCAAAGCTCAGGTCAACTGTATTTTTGCTCTCCTACGGAGCGCTATGACCTTAGCTAAATAAGCTACTTGATTTTTCTGAGTCTCAGTTTCCTCATCTATAAAATGAAAGGTTTACGGCATTTTGTTTCTAAAAGTCTATAATTCTTGCTTATAAAAAATAAAAATTGGGGGACTGGGGTTGTGGCTCAGTGGTAGAGTGCTCGCCTAGCATGCATGAGGCACTGGGTTCAATCCTCAGCACCACATAAATGTAAAATAAAGATATTGTGTCCACCTAAAACTTAAAAATAAATATTTTAAAAATAAATAAATAATTTTAAAACAAGCTCTTAAAGTTTAAAAAAAATGAAAAACTTCAAATGAACCTCTCTCAATTTATTCAACAAATCTTCTTTTTTTTTTTTAAGACAGAGAGAGAGAGAGAATTTTAATATTTATTTTTTAGTTTTCGGTGGACACAACATCTTTCTTTCTAATGTGGTGCTGAGGATCAAACCCAGGCCGCACACATGCCAGGCAAGTGCACTACCGATTGAGCCACATCCCCAGTCCTATTCAACAAATCTTTCAAGAGCCTCTCCTATGCATCCCATACTACCTACAGACTTGTGGGTATGATAGAGTGTGAGGTGATGGGGTTTCTTTATTCATTACTTTTAATCACTACCCTAGCAAATTATTAGTTTTACATATAACTATTTCCTAATCTCATGCTATTGAATTCTTCACAACATCATCATCACCCTAACCAATGACATCAGCACCTGTGTTTAATGAACATTTTCTACATAAAAGATATGTTAAAATGCTTTATGTATATTACTTCAGTTAATACTTATATCTACTCTTTGAGACAGGAAAATCATCCCTCTGCAAATATAAACTCATATTCAGACTTAAAAAAATCCTTAGAAAGATTTTTATAATTAATAAGTAATTTTTCCCCAATAACAAAGAAAATTAAACTTTCACTCCAGATTGCCTCTCCCTTGGCCCATGGCTTCCTGTAGAGGAATATAAAACAGCAATGCTGTTCAGCATCATTTATTGACTACTTTCTTCACTAGCATTTAACAGGACTGCTATTGAAAAGCCAGCATAAGGAAGTCACAGGGTGTGAAAGACTTCCTGCATAAAGTGAAATCATTCTTTCCCTTAGACCCAAAGGCCATTACTAAAAGCAGGATTGGGGTGGGGGCTATCTATCTTTTGGATTTTTGTGGTTTTTTTGCTCATAATTGTTGTTACTCTTATATTTGTATTTTCTCTAGTGACAACAGTGTATTCCTATCTTTAAAGTATCCAAGAAAATTTGGTAAGAGTGGCCTTCAAACTTTTGCTATTGTTGCAATTGAATCTTTTACAGAATCAGAAGCCAATTAAACTAACAAAAACCGAGTCCTGTATATTAAACCTCTCATCCCCTTCCTCAAAGAGCCCTAAAGGAAGTCTAAATCCTAAGAACTCTGGTACAAAATTGGAGAACTACCCATTACAGACTGAAGTGTTAAAATTTGTCTACAAAGTCAAATAATAGAAAAGAAGCTAAAGATGAAAAGTCTGCAACAAAATTTGTTTAAACTTGAATAACTGATATTTTATCTATTTGTTGAATAACTCAAATAACAATCCAATCTAGAAAGAGTACAACAAAGTTACAATTCTAATTTTACCTATGGCTCTAATATGTGTAGCTTTAATTGTATAATATTTACATTTGTTGACTTTAATGGTAAAGCTCTGCACTATAATGCTATCAGTTGTGTGACCTTAAATCACGCGATCTGGGTTTCAGTCATTACATTTTCAAAATGATAAAATTGAATGAGATGAGTCTCTTAATAAGAACAACAAAAATGATGACTACTTGCTATAGTCTGAATCTTGAATGTTCCTGAAAGGGCTACTGTTAAACGCTTGGTTTAACCCTGGGGAGGGTGGCAGTCCAAGGAGGTGGCAGAGTCCTTCAGAGGTGGGGCCTAATGTGACATCCTTAGACCACTAAGCACATGTCCTTGAAGATGATTGTGAGACTCTGGACCCTTCCTCTTTCTATTTGCTCCTGACTCATGATATAAGTAGTTGTATTCTGTCATCCACTCCCACCATGATGTATGCTGCTTCACCAGACACAAAGCAAGGGGGCCAGGCTGGAATCTCCAAACCTGTGAGCCAGCATAAACCTTGTCACTTTATAAACTGGATTATCTCAGGTATTTTGTTATAGAGATGTAAAGCTGAGTAAAGCACTTCTACTGTTAACTAAAGTACATTACATGGGTTGTGTCATTTAATTTTCACAATATTATCATCCCCAGATGTTAAATTGATAACAAATTTAATGATAAATAAAATTAAATGACAAAACGCATATAATTTTCACAATATTATCATCCCCAGATAATATTCTTACAGATAAGAATACAGACATAAAAAAGTCGCACTACTTCCAAAACTGACTACAGAAGCCTGGTCCACAATAGCCTTATCCTCTGCCTAAGCTTAGACAGGTTATTTTCTGTTTTTATGCCTCAAGCTTTCTTTTTCTTAGAGCATTTTCTTTGGAAACTTGTCATTGTAAATTCTTTCTCTACCTTTTAAAAAATATATATGAAGTGTTTTATAGAAGACCCTTGTCATATTTTACAACTCAGATACATCTCAAGAACCTGAAAGACAACCCCTAGAAATACAAACCTCAAGGAAGATAGTGACCTTATCTCTCAGTCTGTGAGCCTAACTGCAAGGGGCAGCATTATAATCAGTAATAACCCAAAATGTTCGATACATCCACTGATTCACCACCCCCTAACAAGCAGTACTTTCCCCATAGCTCTTTCCAGACCTTAAAAACTTTCCTGCCTTTCATTTCAGAAGAGTTAGGTAGGTCCAAACTTAGTTCTGGTCTCTCCTTCCTTATCCCAATAAATTTGAAGAAAAGACTTTCTTGTCTATATAACTTTGTCCAGTGCAATTTCTGCTTTGACAAGCCTCACTCAACAACACTAAAACCTGTGATTCCGTGATTCATTAAAATGTGAAGAACAGCCGGGATGTAAAGCATGTGCAAAGCCCAGCACCACAAACAACAACAATTAAAAAAGCTATAGGAAATTTAAAAAATTAATTCTCGGATTTTTAAAGTAAATGTTGTACCTTTAAGAGGTGAGGCCTGGAGGGAAATAAGTCAGATCACTGGGGACATGCCCTTGAAGGAGACAGTAGGACACCAGCTCTCTTCCTCTCTTTTTCACTTTCTAGTCATGAGATAAGTGAGAGAAGTAGTGTTCCTCCACCATGCCTACCTGCTATGATGTGTCACTAGAGGACCAGAGCAACAAGGTCAACAAAGCATAGATTGAAAACTCCAAAACCATGAACCAAAATAAACTTTTTCTCTTCATAAACTGATTATCTCAAGTATTGTGAGAGTAAGGAAAGATGACTAACATGACTTGCAAAATTCCAAAAATTAACAGGTTGCCTCTCACCCAACATGATTTTGCTTTTATAGGTCCCTCAACCAGAAAAGTCCTCCCCTTTAATTACCTGGCAAGCAAAAATCTCCTTCACAACCTTATCCACATTCTCTAATTCATTACTAAAACATCAAAAAGTGCTATTGTACACAGCACTTGGTAATCTTCTCACTATAATGTATTATTACACATTCCTTTTAATTTTAAATCCCAAATTCCTAATAGGATGCCTAACAATGAGATGTTCCATAAATGCTTACTGGAAAAACTATTTTTTTTTCTGATTTTTTTCTCTCTCTCCATAAGGGGAACTAACCATAATTTATCTTTTCACCTAGGCAAAAATCAAATTTACCATTCAAAATGATGTGAAATATATGAATCTTAATGTGAAAATATTTAGGATCATAAAAACTAGAATCATTAAAAATTGACATTTATGTTATGTTTAATTTTTGAAGTTGAAAAATATTTTTCATTTGATGCCCCCTGCTGGAATTAAATGGAAAATATGATTAAAATTTGTCACAGAAAATTTTATTGTTGTTGTAATGAGGCTCAACCCAGTAGTGCCCTACCACCAAGTAACATCCTTTAATACTGGGGACTGAACCCAGGGGTATATCACAGCCCTTTTAATATTTTGAGACAGAGTCTTACCAAGTTGCCTAAGCTGGCTCCAAACTTGCAATCCTCTTGCCTTAGCCTCCCAAGTATCTGGAATTATAGATGTGTGACACCATGCCTGGCTTTATTTTTTATTTTGAGATAGGGTCTTACTGAGTTTCCTAGGCTGGCCTTGAATTTTCAATCCTCCTGCCTCAGCCTCTCAAGTAGCTGGGATTATGGATATGTACCATAGCACCTGCTTTTATTCAAAATACCATATAATGTGTATTTCTATTTAGACCACATGTGTGAAAATAATACCACTGGACTGAGATTATTCAAACACTCTAACAAGACAATAGACCCATATTCCTTCTTTAAAACACACTACTTTATAATCTCTGAACTTTCTTAAATCTCAAATAGCTCAGAAGAACTAGTTAGGGAGAACAAGCAAGTTATGTTCTACTGAAATGTATTCCTTAGTAAAAGGAAAGATAGGGTAAAGGTAAGTGGGAAGCCATTTAAGACTGTATAACATTGCATAGGTAGGAGAAAAATCTAACTGATAAATGTGTTTAACATGATAGGTGGAAAGATTTTCAAGAAAAAAGTAAGTGGTTAATATCACTAAGTTACAGAGATCAAGTAAGATAAGAGTTGAAAAATGACCATCAGATATTTCAAGACATCAATTCTGATTAAATTTGCAGTAAACTTAACTTATTCTACTTTAAGACAGAATAAATTAGCAAATAAAGAATTACACAAAGAAGTTTAAACACAAAAGTGGGAGTGGCCAGTTAGGTTAGAGACAGATATCAAAAAACACTTAGTTGAGAAATAACATTTATAGGCCAAGGATAAAAGAATCACTAAATGGGGACCCAAGAAAGGTACTACTTCCTTTAGAAAGGAACAAGTCAAATGGATTCCATAATGACTTACCATGTTCTAATTAAATATTTTGGGAGGAAAAGAAACCTGGCCTGGATCCCAGGGACACAAAAGGAGTACTCTCTGTACCAAATGGGGTGGCCACCTAGAACATATAATAGAATCCTTACTAGTTCCTGGATTAGGAAAAAAAATGATATTCCAGAATATTATTTGTCTTAATAAATTTATATACATATAATTAAAATTAACCCAAATCTATCTTATCTTCTTTGTACTAACTTTTCAGTCTCCTAACTGATGTCCCACATCCATTTTCGCTGCCTTCCAATCAGTCTCCATTTTTCTAGTCTTCCAATCCTAGAAATAGGATAATCTTTTCAAAAGGAAAATCTTATCACTGGCATCCTACCACTTAAAACTCTCCTCTACTTCCAATTATGTTCAGGATAAAGACAAAAATCCTTAACATAGCTAACAAAACTCCACAGGATTTTCCCTGCCTACCTCTCCAGGTCATTTCTCACCACGTTTGTTCCCTCCCTTTCTCTTCCCATCTGATATAACCATTACTGTTTCCTAAAAGGTGTCAAGCTCCCTGACACAGAGCCATTGTACATTCTGAGGCCTCTCACTGGAGTTAATGTCACCTAATTAACTTAGCTCTTAGTCAAACAAGCTGCCTCTGACCTCCTAGACTAGGGTAGGTCTTGTTTCAAACTCAGCATAGTACTGTCTAATTTCTTTTCATAGAATTTATCACAGCTTTAGTTTTACATTCATTTTACAATGTATAAAGACATCTTCCACCTCCCTGTAAATTCTAAATGCCCTGGAAAAAAGGGATCATTTCGGGTTTTGTTAACAATGTGTATCCAGGATTTAATACAGTGCTAACCATGTAATATTTGTTGATGAAGGAATGAGGGAAGGAAGAAGAAAAACCCTATCAATAAACTCTGAGTCTTATAGTGTAAAAAAAAGAGAAATTATCTTTAAAAGCATTTGGAAGTTTAATAAATAATTATGGTTACAATTCTTCTATCAATTTCATCCTACAAATGCTATGAAAATATAGTATATGTAGTGGCTAGGGAGGCTGAGACAGGAGGATCAAGAGTTTAAAGCCAGCCTCAGCAAAAGTGAGGTACCAAGCATCTCAAGCATCTCAGAGAGACCCTGTCTCTAAATAAAATACAAAATAGGGCTGGGGATGTGGCTCAGTGGTGGAGTGGCCCTGAGTTCCATCCTGGGTACCAAAAAATATATGTGTATGTGTGTGTGTGTGTGTGTGTGTGTGTGTGTGTGTGAGAGAGAGAGAGAGAGAGAGAGAGAGAGAGAGAG